TTAAATGGGTAACCCTCCTAGTGGAGTGCAGGTACAGCATCTAGTGTAAAACCTAGTAATAGCAGACTACTTAAATAGGCGCTCAAAAAGTGCAGATATGGCTAGTTTTACTCAACAAATATGTACAGCCATCAGAATATGTCTGATGGTTAAAAATACTACTGATATTTGAATAAAGAGCAGTGTAGCAAAGAGGTCATCTTAAAATCAAAAAAAAATAATTGTATAATAATTATATATGCCTATCTATACTAAAGATCAATCCAAATAGATATAATAATAATGATAAACATAATATATTTTATTAGTGTTCTTCTTTTAGCAAATTTTTGTATATAAAGGAATGCTTTATATTTATTCTTTTTAACTCCAATTATACTTATATAAAAATATCAAACTATATTATTTAAAACTTGTAGATGATATATTCATCATTTTATTTTTAGAAGATAAAAACTTGATTTTGATATTGTTTGGTTCAGTTAATGGTTTTGTTTTTATATTTGAATAAAATAGTATAGCTTCATATTCTAAAGCAAGATGTATATGCTCATTTTTAAAAAAAATAATATAGTACAATTTTTAATGATAGATTTATTTATAGGGGACTGGTCTAGGTCAAAATTCGACAAACGAAATCTTGACAAATTAATAATTCTAACAAAAAAATTCTAATAGCAAAAATCCTACAAACAAAAATTTGACAGTAAAAATTCTGATAATCAAAAATTCTAATAAAAATATTATAAAGCATAGCTAATCCCTTATCTAAAGTGATCTAACTCTAAAGTTAATTAAATTATAAGTGTCAATTTTGTTTTAAACATACTTCATATTTGGGATTTTCCATTTTTTTAATTATTAAAATTTTTTTATCAGAATTATGACAATCAGAATTGTGTTTATTAAAATTTTGGGCATCACCTAGAGGTCTTAATATTATATCTATTATTTGTTTTTTTTTAATAAATAGAATTTTAGCTGATTTTTTTTAACAAGTAGAATTTTGTTGATGCACATTTCTATTTCTTTTTTTCTTATTCCAACAAGATCTTTTTCTATACTCCTGAAAAAGACTGAGTATAATGAAGGACTGCAATATACTCTTGACTTGGTAGAAAAGCAAAAAAACTACAGGTTTGATGTAACAAAAATAAAGTCATTTATATATAATAAATAATGTATCTTCAAGTGTGCACAAAAAAAATACTATTTTAGAAGAAGTGTGTATAATAAAAAAGTAAAAAAGAAAATGCACTACTTCTGGCATTAAGCATATAAAACACTATTCTGAAGTATGTATAATGAAAAAACACACTTTCAGATAAAATGTGTGTTATGAAGCATATGTCTTCAGGTAAAGTCAGTATAAGAGAACACTAGAAGAAGTATATATAATGAAAAATATTAATGAAAAAACACTACTTCAGGCATTAAGTATATAAACACTATACTGAAGTGTGTGTAATAAAAAAACACACTTTCAGGCGAAATGTGTGTAATAAAGCACACATCTTCAGGCTAAGTCAGTGTAAGAAAAAAGACTACTTTGGAAGAAGTGTATATAATGCAATGATGCATAATAAAAAAAAGGAACACTGCTCTGGATGAAGATTGATAAAAAGTGTGCACAATAATCATAAAATAATAAAGCTTTCCTAATCTTTACACTGTTTCATGTACTCACTTGATTTCTTTTGATTCAAAGAACAAAAGAAAAAAAATTAAGGCAAATTTAAACCAGTGAATATTTAGAGATCGTGTGTGATTGATCAGCATACTGCATAATTATATTCTTGAGCTACGTACAGGCAATATGCGCCACAGTTGCGTTGCAAACTTGACACATTTCAGACATGCATTATTCACAACTACCCAAGGATGACTGATTCATTTTTTAATAATTTTGGCTTTAATGTTCATAACATTCATTTCAAACAAAAATCATGAAATATAAGCATTATATTAACAAAACAATTACTTATTTCCACTGACTTCTGACTTTAATTTTAATGTGTGACAGTTTTTATGACTTAATTTCAAGACAGCTAATCCGTTTTCTATTATCTTAGATTTAAACGAATTCCAGTCTATAGTATTCGTATAAGAACTAAATCATTGAAACTGATTTGGCCATTCTCAATTTATGGAATATATGGCATGAACAATTATTTTTGGATCTTTAGGTGACCACTGTATATGACAACGAATTATCCCAACAACGTATTTGGATGATTAAAATTAAAGCAAAAATGAAATAACATTAAAACATCAAGAAATTGTATGTTAAGAAATATGAAATTATACGAGATATGATATAAAAATATGTGGTAAGTATAATGGGTAATAATCTACAGTATAATCTCGATGCCAATTTTTAAAAATTCGTTATATCTAAATTAACTAACATTTTCTTTAATTTGAACATTGTATGTGGATGGTGGATTTAGCCAGTCCTTGTCTTTACTGGCTACGTCTGGTAAAGTGAAGATTTTTTTCTACAAGTACCGAATTAGATGTATACGTCCGGTTAACGCATGGGATTTACAGAGATAAGTTTCTTGAAAATTTAGGTTGGTATGTCTCGCATCAAACCATTCTAATTATTTACCTACTATAGATTATGTTATTGCATACTTTTTCTTTTATGAAGCTGCTATCGAAAAATGTAAATATTTAGTTCTTAGAGTCTGCGCCGGATATATGAGTTTGCAGTAGGTTTAGGCGGTAAGTTCACATTACTTTTGCTTTTTTTTAATTTTTCTTTATTCCAACATTATTCATTTTGTTAGCCTGGTGATGTATTATATATTCAAGAACAATGCACTGACTTCCCTGAATTGAAAATAGGAATGCCATTAACACATACATTTTGCAAAAACAACACATTGGCTTCTTGGTTATAATAAACCTGAACCAAATATGCATTTGTGCTTTGCAACAATAACATATTATCTTTTTTGGATTTAGATCAGGAAAAATAGAAATAATAGTTACATTTTGCAATAATTCAGCAGACTTTTTGGATCTTATCTCGGATAGTAAAGAGAAAAGCAACAGCAAATGCACTTTGAAATGCCATTTTGCTTTTTGATCTTTGATCCGAAAAAGAAAAATCAATAGTAGATGGCTTGCAATATAATATTAATTTTTTTAAATCTTATTTCAGATCAGAAAATAGCACTAACAAATGCACTTTTGAATCAATTACTCCAGGGTCAAGATGCTCGTAAAACAATGAAAAGCTTGATCAAAAGAGGCGGTTAGAATTGATGGGTTGGGTTGGTTGTCAGATAATAATGTCCGGGTGAGTCTTGTTTTTCCTTTTAAAAATATTGTCAATGGCTAAATATTTTCCTTTGAAACTACGACTAATTCTGTAAATTAAACAGGCCAGATAACCTACACTTTAATTCTACAACCAGGGCTTATCTCTGTGCGTTGAGTCTAAGCCGAATAAATATCACGAATTCGAAGTTCTGTGCACAAAAAAATGTGATTGAGCAAAAGTCTATCACTATTACTCAACAACAGACTGTAATTTAAAGTTTAGTGAAACTTCACCAAAATTTTAAAGAAATTGCATTTTTTTTTTATTTTTTTTTTAAATTTTAAAATTGGACGATCATAGTACTGTACATGAGAAAGTTTCTTGGGTGAGTAATTTAAAATCAGTAGAAATATAATGAACTTCTATAACTACTGTATAATAATGTATCACAATATTTCGTCTGTTATTCATTATACGATAAGTATTTTTTTCTTGTATTCTTAAATAATCGTTCAAACGGATTGTAATGACTTTTCTTATATTAATTCTCATGACTTTCAAGACTTTTTGCAAAAAACTTAAGCCACACAAAGTTGATTTTTCGTTTGCATTACATGGATTTAAAAATTTCCGGTCAGTCAGTCAGATTTTTTTTTTAATCTACAGTAAATTAATAAGCTCATCATGTTCACATCTAAGGTCGCACGATATTAATTCTTCACTAGTATAATATGGAATCAGAAAATTGGGTTGGCAGTCGAATGTTTTTTTTTCTATCGTATAATTTCGAGAAAATAAGGTCTATATCGGGTGATATCGGATTAATCTATGGAAAAAAATTAAATGGAAAAAATAGGACAAATTGGTACAATTGGGGTTTAAAAAAAAATTGAAAAATTGAAAAAATGGGTCGGTGGGTAATGCAAAACGAAAAATCAGCTTTGCGTGGCCTTATAATGATAAAGCATGCTTAAGTAGGGTAATATCTCTCTTTCTATAGTTAACAAACAATAAAAAAAAAAAACATCTGCAGTCATGCCATACTTACAAAACCCGGAAAACTTTTTTTTTACTAATCAAAAAATATTATTTTTAATTTTTTATCGTGTTTTGCATACTCGTGAATTAAAAATAATTTTTTTATCTTAATCGAGTGGAGCTAGCATTTGCATCAAAACTATACATAAATTATGTAATGCCACAAATTTTTGGGTTAAATTTGCCACATTGAAAGCTTAAATTCATTTCAAAATATATAAATTATATGAATGACAAATTAAAATAATGTTATTCGTGACTTTAAAAGATTGTTTAAATGGTTAAATTGATGCTTTATTTTATATTCATTTGTGTAATTAAGTGAAGGAAAAATCCCATGCGTGAATGATTGATAAAAAATAACAATAATGCTAAAATGCTAAAATGCTAAAATAATTGTTATACTCTAGATCCTAACTAATTATTCAATTATATTCACCTTTAACATTAGCTAGAGTTATTCTCCTAAGATTATATACCGATCTCTAAATTTGTATACATAATATAGAATGCATGGATGCGACTTTCCCAATAATATACAAGTTTGGAACCAGATTTAAACCTGGTTAAATCCGATTGTGTCGTATAAAAAAATAAATCCGGATTCAAGCTGCAATATATATTGATGTGCAAATGGTTCAGGTATGAATTATATATAGTCAAGAAGTTAAAAATAGCGGTCAGACATTCATTAATTAAGATATTTCTTATTTTTGTTCTTCATCATCCTTTTCTTGTCGTCTTCTTTACTCTTATTATCCTCTTTACTCTTATCATCATCTTTACCTTTATCGTCCTTATTTTTATCATCATCTGTTTTATCATCTTTAGGTTCAATAACTTTAGTATCGACTTCCGGATCTTTATCTTCTTTATTATCTTCTTTCTTATCTTTATTTTTTGAAAACTCTCCTGGATGGCCTTCCAGTTTAATTTCTTTACACTTGCTATAAATTCTCAAGCCCAATTGTAAATCCCATTTTTCTTCATTCTTCTTATTGGTACCTTCTTTATCCTCCTCCTCCTCATCATCATCAGAATCGGACTCATAATTATCCTTATGAAGCCTTTTAGCACGTTTTTCTTTACGTTTCTTAGTTTCTTCGTCCTCTTTATAATCAGTTGTTTCGCCTGTATCTGAATCAGGAGGGGTAATTTCACGATTTATACGTGGAATAATTTCATAATTACCAGCCTGAAGAGTGGTTTCAAGGTTGACACTACGAGGAGCTAATGGAACAGATGAGCGGCTACGAATTAAATAGGATGATTCACCATCTTTATAAACACGGAAACTTAAACGATATCTTTAAAAAATAAAGATATTGTTAGAATAGTATTATTAATCACAAAG